TTATATAGGCCACCCGTGGCTACACAGTGAGATCCTGATCAGAAAGAAAGAAAGGAAGGAAGAGAGGGAGGGAAGGGAAAAGGAGGAAGGGAAGAGAAGAATATTTCAAATGCAACTTCATTCCCATCAAATAAGTACAACTTATAACAAAATATGCCAGTCATAGCCATCAAATGACCACACCTAAAATGGACTCATGGGGAGACAGAACTCTGCTCAATGGAGCACGAACAGATGAGACCGTATCAGAGCGTACCCTGTGTACTCAACTTCAAAACATGCCCACTGTAGACCAGGGGGTCTACTTTTAGGATCTCAGTTTAAGGAAATAATTAAGGGTGAATGATAGATCGAGCCATAAGGATATACCACAGTCTGTGCTGTACCTGACCTCAAAAAGGAAAGTAAGTTTTGTAATACATGAACATGTCACATAAATAGTGAGTTACATAAAAAGCATGCTATAGTCATTGGTGGATGTTATGCAATATTAAAATGAAGTAGTAAGACAGTGACTGTGGGGAGAGAACATGGACATATTCATTTCTATGTGAATTTCTCTAATTTTGCAGTGTAAGTAATGTATTGTCTGTGTTATATAGAGAATATTTGAATAAATAGCAAAGTTACTTTTCTGGACTTAATTTGAAAAGGCAGGAAACTGGGCATGGCAGGGAGTGAGGTGGTGAGGTGGAAATGCTAACAGATCCCCAGTAAACGTCTCCAACCCTCTTCACCCTCCGGTGGATCTGAGATAAAGAGAGGGGCAGATGGACAAATTCTCACTTTGCTCTGAAAGGGGGAATAAGTGCCTTAGCCACTGATGCCAAAAGGAATCGGTACCTCTAGTGACTTCCTCTGCCCTCAGAATCACATCGGACTCCCTCTCCACATCTAGAACTGCTCACCTTGCCTCCAGCCTTTCCTCCTGCCCCTGCCTCTTGCTAACTATACCAGCCCCTTTTTAATTTTTTCAGATATGCCCACCTCATTCCTGCCTCAGGGCCTTTGCATGGGCTGTTCCCTCTGCCTGGAACAGTCTATCCCATCTCTCCCCGTGGTCACCTCATTTTCACCCTGGTCACCTCATCAGCTCTGATGTTATTTCTCTGACCTCTACTTCCCCCAACAATTCCTCTCCTTCTCCTATTTACTTCAGTCATTACATTTACCATTATCTGAATTGTCTCACTTGATTTTCACTTGAATATCAACTGATGCCTCATGAGAAGACAAGGCTATGGTCTCAGGGACTTGCTCAGCACTGTCCCTCTTGTCTGACATAAGAGGCTGCCTAATGAACCCTGTGCTCATGCAATGGAAGCCAGGAGTATTAGACAGAGTGGGCTGGGCTTCGCTGCAGTAACAAGGTGTCCAGCTCGTCTCTGCAGCTGCACACACGAAGGCCAAGTGTGTGGCCTGGCTCACACCACAGCTGTGCCCACTGGAACATGTGGCGTCCAAGGCTGTTGTGGAAAGGAAAGAAAGATGGAGGGGACCGTCTTGGCCAAGAGGTCACACACATGGCTCATTCCTATAGTTACATGGTCCCAACTCAGCTGCCAGAGAGGCTGGGCAACAGAAGGGAGAGTGGATTTCCTGTCCTCACCCAGGTTCTGCCCACCAAAAGACCCCAAAGGACATTCTGTGGATAGAAGTTGCCAAGGACAGTGAGGCAAGCTAAGGTGCTTAGTGCTGCCAGGATGAGGCTGTGTCTGTGCCCCCTGCCTTGGCCTCTCCTCCTCTTCAGCCTGAACTCCTGGGTTCTTGCCACAGGAACCCCACTAGACCCTCCACCCAGGTCCCCAAGGCCTTCCTCGAGGTTGGCTATGCCCCTTCCACTCTTCAGATCCAGCGTGGCGGGCAGCTTGTGCCCAGGGCTGGCCCTAAGCCTTTACTCTGGTCTGGCTCCTCTCGGGGCCATCAGTGCCCCTCCTGGAGTGCAGTCAGGGCCAGCGGAGGCCATGTCTGTCCTTCCAGGTTCTTATTTCAGCTCCAACCCTGGGAAGCCCCAGGACCAACTGTGGACTTACAAGAGGAATATGACAAGCCTTCAAGGGCCGTCTGGGTTGTGGCTTGAGGCCCACAAACCCAGGGCTGCCTGGGCTACTGTTTAGTAAGCAGGGACTAAGGTCAAGTTCAGGCGTTCACACAGCAGGCATTGGCACTCTGCACAAGTCTTCAGACAGTCGCTACTGGCCACATTGTCCTTTTAAATCCAAGTGTTGATTAATTACAAGCACATTACCCATTAGGATGGCTACTATAAAAATAACAAGTATTGCGGGGAGGTGGAAAAATGGAAGCCCTCGTGCATTGTGGTGGGAGCGTAAAATGATACAGCGGCCGTGGAAAGCAGTTTGGTGGCCACTCTGAAAGTTAAACAGAAAATGACCACATGGCTCAGTAGCACAAGGTTTTGAACAGATTTTTATACACCATGATCACAGCAGCACTGTTCACAACAGCCAAAAGTCAAAGCAACCTAATGTCTATGAATGGATGCACAAAATGTGGGTTTGTACATACAATGGAATGTAATTCAGCCTCAAAAAGGAAGGGAAAGTCAGATGTGGTGGTTCATGCCTATAATCCCAGAATTTGGAAGGCAGAAGCAAGAGGATCATGAGTTTAAGGCCAGCCTGAGCTATAAAGAGAGACCCTATTTCAAAAAAAAAAGGAAGGGAAGGGAAGGGAATTCTGACACATGCTATAATATGGATGACTTCTAGGATGTTGTGATAAATAAAATAAGCCAGTTATAAAAGGACAAATATCACAAATATATGCATTCAGTATGAATTCAGTTATGTGAGGTACCTAGAGTGATCAAATTCTCAGAGATAGAAAGTAGAATAATAGCTGGGTGTAGTGGCTCACACCTGCAATCTCAGCTGGAGATGAGGAAGATCATGGTTTAAGGCCAGCCTGGGCAAAAAGTTAGGAAAGCTCCATCTCAATCAACAAGTCAAGTGGTGGTACCTATCTGTAATTCCAGCTATTTGGGAGAGTAAAACAGGAAGATCTCAGTCCAGGCCTTCCTGGGCAAAAAAAAAAGACCCTATCCGAGGTGTAACTAAAACAAAAAGGGATGAGGGCATGGCTCAAGCAGTAAATCGCCTGCCTAGAAAGTGTGAGGCCCTGAGATCAAACCCCAGTATCACCACCAAGAAAGAAAGAAAAGGAAGGAGAGAGGGAGGGTGCGGGGATAGCGGTGGCTGCAGCAATGAGAGCGCTTCCATTGTGGCTGAGCTCTGTCAGATGGCAGCTTACTAGAAGGTTGTCCTCTCTCAGTCACACTTCTTCAGCACCCCTCGCCCCCAGATTGTCAAAGGCCCCGTGCCTTAGATGGACTGCCCCCTGGGCATGCACACACTCTCCACAAGGACACAGGGTATTAATTGTCAGGGCAACGCCACGCTCCCAGCTGAGCTGAACCTTATCTCCCTTGTCCACACTGTGCTCCTGCAGTGCAGGGTGGAGCTCAGATTTGGGGGAGGCCCCTCGCTGCCCACCCTGAGCCTGGCTGAGCCCCAGGACTCTCTGAAGGACTCACCACCATGTCTAGGACAAGTACTCACTCAGTAAACATTTGCTGAATTCATAAATGCACATCAGCAAAACATGGAAAAAAGACACGGTCCAAATATTCTTTCTCAAATCCCTGGATTTGTCTCCTAAAATCCTTTTGTTGTTGTTGTTATGACAAACTCATTTCAATTTAAGAATTTTTGTATTCCTTATGCTCTTTTAGAAGCTAAGCATCCCATTATCTAAAATGCAGCTACAGGTGGAACATGGGGATGTGAATGAATAGAAGCTCACTGGTGAAACCCAGAGAAAGTTTTAGAATTTCTCCAACCAACTCTCTGTGACACAGGCACCCTCCCCCAGGGAAAAGGAGAACCTGCCCCCATCAGCTATATAAAGAACCCACCATGGATACCCCACCTTCAGCCAGAGTCTGGGTGGACTTCTCAAGAATGAGTCTTCATGTGTTGTCCCTAAATCAAATACTGTCATTGTCATGTTAGCAAAAGCATATGTTATTTAGAGATTGAAAACGTGTTCATGGAGGCTGAAAAACACAGCTCACCTCCAATTATATCATTTAATTCTCCTAACAGTGCCCAAGATGGGAATTACTGACCCATCTTAAAGATGAGAAAACCAAGGCTCAGGGAACTAGAGCAGTTTTCCCAGTGACACACCTGGGGAAGGTGAGGCCAGGAGTTGACCTACACTGTCTAATTCCAAGCACAGCCCCTTCCTCCACTGCACTGGAAAGCAGTAGAATGCTTCCAAGAAGAACACTTATTTTGAAGGCTGACAAGACTTTTACATCAACCTGTCTCGGAGACTTAGTGTGATGATTTCCTAAGATATTGCATGATAAGTGCCTAGCACAAGCTTAGCACACAGCCACATCTAATATGTGAGCTCAATAATTACAGCCATTTTGGTTTTATTACTATTATTATTACATTTAAGTTCATATGAGACAAACTAATTAGTCTCAAAATGAATACGACATTAACCACATTCTCCAAAATAAAATGCACTTTCAAATGCAAAGGACTTCTGTCTGTCCCACTTTGCAGATGAGAAGGTTGGGGGTAGTGGGAATGCCTCACCCAAGCAGAAAGGTGAACACAGGCAGGAGTTGTCCTCCAGTATTCAGTTCACTCCCTTTTGGGCCCTAATGCATTTTTCCCCAGAGCCTTGGGGACTCCGATCTACGTGCCAATGTAGGTCCCAGGGGCTCACCACCTGCCCAGAAAAGCAGAGCTGCGCAGCATGCCCAAACCCCATCTCTGTACCCCTTCCTGCCTGCCTCCAGCTGGAGCCCTGGAGGACCTCAGTCACTGACAAACTTTAGGCTCCTATTCTCCCACCAAGTCTCCTTCAAGGGGCCAGTCTCCGAGAGCAGAGGCTCGCTCCAGTCTAACCATGGCCCCAGCTCAGCTCAGCCCTCCAGTGTCCCACCGGTCCCCACTTACAATATTCATTAGTGTCAGCAAGTACTTCTGCACGTGCTCCTTCCCGTGGAACTGGACCACAGAGTCGTCCACGCCCAGCAGGACTTCGATGTTGTAGTCATCGTCAGCAGTATGCCTGCGCACCCTCCGCCTGGAGCTGTTGACACGCTCCTCCAGGACGCCCAGGGCATGGCTGAGGCTGTCCAGGTTGACTGAGGAGGCTCCTGGAAGGAGAGGACACTGTTCAGCAGCAGCCCAGGTCCACCAGGGACATCACAGCAGGACAGACCCACCCCCCCAACTTGGTGCAACTCAGCCCCTCCAGGTAGCAGAACAACTGTGTCATTTAAAACACACATCACCCTGGGCTAAGGGCATCGTTGTTCCCACTTTACACAAGAACAAACTGAGGTCCAGAGAGAGGCAGAGTGGTGTGACAAGCCACTCAGACTCAGCGACACTCAAATCGCCACCTCAGCAGCTTCATTTCAAGGCTAGTTCTTTCCCCAGTATTGGTAGTGACTCCAGCTGCAGCCTGGGCCAAGGGGTCCTCTTGAGACTGTGAGACTCAGTATAAATACCAGGACAGCCATTGGGCAGAAAGGCTGGAGTGCAGCTGGCACAGCAGGAGTGAGTGGCAGAGCCAGCTCTCTGCATCATGTACTCACTCACATACTCCCAAAGGGCTGCCTGGGTGCCAACATGTTATTAGGGGGAAACTGAGGCCCAGTCCAGCAGAATGCATTCCATAGCATCTCCTTGGGCCTGGATCCCCTCCAAGGACTTTCTGCTCAGTCTTTCGCTGAGGGGGTGGAATAGATGGTCCCCTTCCTGGGCCAGGGTCTCATGCGCCTACTCTCTGCCCTCACCAGGTAGATGGCCTGTCCCCATCAAGTGGAGACCAACATGGATGCCTCTCATGACAGTCTGCCCTGGGCAGGTGCTGCCCTCCAGGCCATGAGCTGGCCATGGTGAGGAGTGGGGTCTGAGATGCCTCAGTTGAGGCACCCAGGGCTCCAAGGTATTGTCCCTAGTGCCTGCTCAGATGTGGCTTCTGCCTGTGTTTCTATCCATTCTCACAGAAGCTAGAGCTCAGCTTGGACCAGAGCTCCAGTCTCCAGCCCTCCCCTGCCGTCACCTCTTGGGGTAGCAGCAGACTGGTGAGGCTGACCTTCAGCACTGACAGCTGATCCAGACCCCACTGCCCACTAAACCCTCATGCTCATGACTTGCAGCCTGCTTACTCCCACCCTGCAGATGACGTCTGTGTCAGAGTCCTGCCCGCTTCCACAGAGTCCTCAAAGACTCCTGCCCTGAGACAGCTTTGGGGGCCACAGGTCACCAGGACATGACCAACACAGGTCCATCCTATGGCCCCCACAAGCAAGGGCCTTGCTCAGTTGTGATGCTGCTGCATCACCGCCAGTCACTAATCCCCACAGCCTCTTATCTGCTGCCTCCTCCACACAGGGACAGGCAGTCCCTCCATGTCAAGGTGGCACATGACAGGTTCTGGAGGCAGAGGCAGGCCTCCAAAGGGAGTGTGCTGCTCATGGAGATCAAGGCAGTCTGATTGCTCCCCACACTAGCCCCCAACACATCTCATCCAGTGAGACAACAGGTGTCCTTGGTAGGAACTACTGTTCCCATTTGACAGACAAGGAGACTGAGGGAACCTCAGCACAGTTGAGTCTCAGCTAGAAATTTGCTCCTCACACCTTGCTGTGTGTCTCAACAAAACAAATTGACTGATAGGTTGTAGGTCCAAGCCTGCAGCTTGGCCATGGGCAAGACCAGGGGGAAGAGGGGAGGTGAGGAGCAGTGGGTGAGGCTTTGACAGGGAAGATAAGCAAGCTAGCATAGCACAGGACGGCTGCCTGGGTACTGTACCTTCTGGGGTTCTTGAGACTCTGGCCCTCCCAACGCACACACATGCACACACACATCCACACGGATTGCATGGACGTGCAGTGCGCACACACACACACACACACACACACACGGCAGGCACTGCCCAGGGCTGCTCTGGGGACAGGAACGGGGCAGCAGCCCTGCAGGCAAGGCCCGTGCAAAACTGAGGCTCCGCTCAGCTGCTTGGAGATGATTCAGGGCCATCCCTGCTGCCTCCAGAGGAGATGCTGGGGACTTAAACTTGACAGAGGGCTTGAGGAATTGCTACTCTATTTTTATACATTTATTTCTTTGCATTTTCAACCAGCAGGGACAGCTCACCTTCAGAACCACCTTGGGAAGCAGAAAGATGGTAATTTCCACAGAAAATGCCTCCCCTGGGGAAGAGGCTGGACATGACCTTCCAGCCCTATCAAGCTAAGGGTCACAACAGGAGCATCCCCTGGGGCAAAAACAGATCACTGAGGTGTTTGTTAGGGTCATGTGGCATTTTAAAAATACCTTATTTGGTTGATAGTGTTTGAAAATTGGGAGATTTCACATTAAAATTATCTAGACCATCCACTTTCTCTTGAAGAATTAGGAGATGGGGCCACCCCTCCTGTAACCCAGGGATGTGAACTGAGGTCATACATGGAGATAGGACACATGGGGTCCAGGTCACCAGGGCACCCACCTGCCACCCTTGATGCTTTTCTAGCCCCCAAACGGCTCAGAACAGTGATGCCCTCGAACAGAAGTGTGGAGAAGCTACTGCATGGCTGGAGCTGGCCTCAGGCCTGTCTTGGAGCTGCATCCACCAAGCAAACATGGTTTTTATATGAACTGTATGTGATGGGTTCTTCAAACTGCAGCGTTTCCTAAGAATGTTGATTGCACCTTAAGCGTAATTTTTGTTGGTAACATTTTTCTCATCACGATTAGTTTAGGGACGACTTGGACCTTGTGTTCTAGAACACTCCTCTTCCCCTAAAGCCCAGCCCCTATAGAGAAGCCCCAAAGTTCAGGGCAAAGTAGGTGAAGACAGAAAGACAGTCCCTGAGGTCAGCTGGCAGGGGACAGCCGCCATGCAGTAAGACCTCTGGAAACCTCAGGCTTGCTCAAAGACCCCTCAGGCAAAGTCACAGGGTCTGCATTGCCCCTAGGCCTGGGGCTACATGAGCCTGGTTCAGCCACCTTCCTGCCCTTCTCTATCCCAATGGGACCTGACAGTCAGGCTGGTATTTCCCTTCATCAGTTATGAGGGTCACTTTGATTTTCTCATGATGAGCTTGACTTTGAAGCCCAGACCACACTCTGATCTTAACAGGCTCATCTCTCAGCCCCTGCTATAAAGAACACTGGCCAGCAACAAGCTTTGGCATGGTCTTGGTCTGGCTTCCTAGAGATTCCCACAACATCAACCTTGGCCTTTGGGACCTTCCCACCAGTGCTGGCTTCCCTATTTGAAAATCTCGGCTCTGCTTGGTCCTTCCAGGCCAGGAGCAACAGTCTCTTGCCACTCTGTACCCCTCTCCTGTCAGCTCCCACACACTTGCAGCCTGGGCCTGCTAGGCCACAGTGGCCAAAGCTCCACATTCGTGGGCCAGGCTGGGTACATAGCTGTCCATGCTGCCTGTCTCCTGAAGAGGCAGGAGGATGCTGCTGGCTTGAGTCTCCCTTCCCCCCAAGAAGTAACTGGCACCCCAGAAATGGCTCCCTGGAGGGCTGAGGCTCCCCGCCAAGGGGAGGTGTCTTTCACAGGGTTTTATCTTTTAAACGAGTAACCAAAGAGATGCAAAGTTCCTAGCATTCTCTGTGCTTGGGGACCCTTCTAGACAGCAGCTGGTGCTCTCTTTGCTCATGTCTTGTGCAAAGGATGACACAGCAGGAAGCGTATCCAAGAGCTATCCTCAGTTTTAGAGTCTCTAGAGTGGAAAGGAAAGGCTGTTAAAGAGTCGATCAACAGACTGGGGAGAGGACAGGATAAGGAATTGCAGATGTCCTGTCCGAGGAAGCCTGAAGCAACTGCCATCCCAGGAAATGGGTGAGTCACAGTGGCCAAGTTCATTTGCCGTCCCATAAAGCAAAGGGTGCTGCCTGCCCCCAGGAGCTTATGGGCCAGCCTCCTGGGAGTGACCCCTTGGCATCCATGGGGGCAAAGGCACATGCACAGCCCTTCAGGGCAACAAAGCTTGGTCACTCCCATGTAATCTTCACATTGAGGACAAGGCTCCTTCCTGCCCCCTGTTCTAGCAGGACTGTGGTTCATCTCCCAAAGGTTCAGGAGCTAAAAGCTTGGTCCCCATTGTTACTGAGATGTTGGAACCATTAAGAGGTGGGGCAGAGAGGAAGGGAAATGAGGTCACTGGGACTCCACGTGCAGGAATGAATCAGCACCATCTCACAGGACTGGATTATTTCCCTCCCCTCCTGCCCTCCGAGAACAGGCTGTTGTAAGAGTAAGCCTGGACACTCCTGTTTCTTACTTCCTTCCTTGCAAAGCCATCTCCCCCTCTCACACCATTGTGATGCCATCTGACACGCCATGACACATCTGGGAGGAGGGGAGCTCTAGCCAGGACACCAGCTGTGTGAATTTTCCTCCCACTAGAGCAAAGCAAAACAAACCTCTTTTCTTTATTCATTACCCAGAGTCAAGTATTTTGTTATAACAACACAAAATGAACTAAGACAAGCAGAAAGGGAATAGAGAAGCAGAAGATTAAGTGACTCCATCAAACAACATTGCCAGAGAGAAGGAGCTGGGACCTGAGCCCAGGTCTGGACCCAAAAAGTTATTTTTTTTTTCTTCTAAAGAATGGTGATGTTTATTTAGAAATAGCAGGGCATTGCAATGAGAATATGCATGCCATAGTCAACTATGAGTGTGTCCCCATGCTCTTAATATGGCCTAGAACAGCTCCTGCATATTGCTAGCAAGGCTTAGTTTGGGGAAACCAAAATTGGTAGTGGGATGTATTTAGTCCAGAGAAGAGACAAGCTGGGCTTGAAGCTGTAACTTCAGAGCATTAGTGTCAGCTGCTCTATAGTATCAAGGATGCCCAGTGCTTGCCACACCCTGGGCAAAGGCCCTGCCCACATGTTGCCAAGCTGGTTTCTTCACCTGGGAGGCCCTTGCTGCTGCTTCTGCCCAAAGTTAGCCTCCCAGGTCCCACAGGATCTCCCAAAATGCCCAGAAGGAAGACAGCCTGCAGTCCATGGTGCTGAAGTCCCTGCCTTCCTCCCATGTTGGGCTCAGAGCTTATGGAAGACATGGCCATGTGTGGTCTGTTATGGTTTGGATCTTACATGTCCCCAAAAGGCTCAAATG